GTTGCTCACAAGCCTGATCCCAATCCTGATCCACGTGGAAGTTTCAACCTGATAAACGTGAAAATTTTGTCTTTTCCAATTTGGGTTGGTTTGCTCTTCCTTAGGAAGCCTGGTGATCCTCTTCTTTCAGGGGCTCACCACACTGGTGCCTGACTCATGGTAGGCACTTAGTGTAGCCGCCCAACAGGACTTTTTCAACTCAGAGCTTCGGAACTCCAGGGATCCGCCAGCCTCAGCCTTCTACCACACCAGAGATTACAGGCATGCATCATACCTGGTACAAACCCTAAATTCAAAACCAGAATATTTTTTATGTTTTTATCATGGGTATTCCACCCGCTCTTTCATATTATCTTACTAAAGATTTAACCCATCTCATTATTTTTCCTTCCAAGTCTCCTTCTTTATAATTTTCAAAAGGTGACAGATCCATAACTACACCCAGTCAACAGTCATGTGAAATAACTAGATGACCTGGTTTAAGGCTCATAGGGTAACATACCAAGAGGTGGAAGGGTCCTTATAAGCTTTCTAGTTTATATCCTGTCATTCTACAGATAAGGAAACTATAGAGGTGGTAAGTATCAGAGGGATTTAAACCCAGGTCCTCTGACCCCAAACACAACATTTTTTTCCCCATAAAACTAGAGCTTTTTGTGTCAATGAATTCATCAGTGTTTTGTAGGCTTTCTTCATAAAGGTAAACTTAGATGAACACTCAGATGAACCACTGATTAGCTGCCTAGTTCCCTTGCTGTTTTTGGAGGTCTTAAGCTTTGATTCCTATTTGGGAAAACCAAACTCAATCTGGATTTGGTCTTAGAAGAACCCAGCATGGGAGGCCAAATTTCAACCCTTTATGCTACATCTTTCATGGGTTCAAGACCAGGCTTTGACATATATTCTCTACAGGATCTTGGACCGATCATGTAACCTGGTAGTGCCCAAGGCAGCTCTTTAAGACGTATGTTACAGGCCAGTTGCATCAGGAAAGGGAGTTTCTCCCTGGAAACTCTGTATACTAAGGAAATCACTGGTCTGATTTTTTTTTAAATGCTAATCAATTGCTTGAGCTCACTTTTTTCTTGTTTTCAGAGAGGGCAAGCACTTCAAAATAGATAAAACAACTGCCCAAGTACATAAATGAGAATGGTCGAGGTAACTTAGAAAAAGCAAAACCAAAACCCAGCACAGAGCAGAACAGTAAAAACTAGGCTAAGGAAGCTCTTTCCACCTTTTCTTTATTCTTTATGATTATGCCTCTAATGCTGGGGCGAAGACATTATTTTAAGAGATTATGATAGTGCATTTCCCTTATACATCATTTAAAAGGAAGTCTCTGTGATAGGTTCAATTCAATTAAACAAACGTTTATTTTGTGGCTACTGTGTGTTGGGTTCCGAACATAAAAATGACAAAAAGAAATGTTTCCTACTCTTTTTTTTTTTTTAATTAATTCTCCCTACTCTTAAAGAGCATACAGTCTACTAGCGAATTCTTGAAACTCTGGAGACAGCATGGAGACCTTAGAAGATATTCTAAGCCTCTCAACAACAGCTATTATTCTTAGAACTGGCTAGTAGATTTGCTTATCATAACCCTGCCCTGCTCCATATTCCTGTTTACTGCAAGGAATAACAATCCCTCTCTCCTCTCTTGTGGCTAGAAATAAAACAGGTCTCAGAGCACAACGTAGTGCATTTTCCAATGAAAGTTGCCCTCTCTTTTCTGTCTCATTTTGCCTAAAATACTCACAGATATCCTCTCTCCATTACCACAGATTCCTTGAGCTTGTCTGAGAGGTACTAAATTAGGTGCCTAAATACCAATCTATCTCCATGAAAGAGGCAGAATTAGTGCTTGAGGACACTAACCCAAAGGGCACAGCCGAAAAGGTGTCCTCATCTTTCTCGAAAGTACTGTGCTTTGCAAATGCTGGGCCATTAGTTCATGTCACTGGTTTATGGGAGTGAAGATGTTTCCATTTTACAGGAAAATTGAGGGTGTGTTAAAACCAGGGCAAGCGGCACATTCTTGTACAGAACTCATAAACTCATGGCACAATCATCTTGTTTTTTGGTTTCGTTCTTGACCCACACTGCTCATCCTTTTACCGCATTTGGCTCACCTCGGAACAAAGGCTCTTAGGGTAACTAGGCACCTGTGTGTTACTCAAGAGTGGGGAGATGCTGTGAAATTAAAAAGAGCAGGCCTCTCGGGCTTGGTGAGATGTTCATTATTCCGGCTCCAAGATTCAGAGGGATACTGTCTGTGTGTGGTTTAGCACTCTTGCTTGTCCCCCATGCCGAGGCCACACTTCACACAGTGGAAAGAGTGCTGTGCTGGAGTCATAGAATATGGGTTCAAATCCTGCCTGCAATGCAAGGTCACCTATATTATATATACAAGGTCCAAGGGACCTTGGGCAATTCACTTAACCTCCTTTTCCTCACTTTCCTCAACTGTAAAATGAAGAGGGTTAATGAATGTTTTCTGAGGTTCCAGGCAGGTCTAGATGTAGGATCCTCTGAACTAAGCAAGTACAAGAGGACATCTAACCAAATCAGGCAACAGGCATTCACTTGTGATTTGTATACCAAGGTCACATATCCATCATCATGTCTGCCAAGCTACATCTTATCATTACTGGATGAGGTTCAGTCTGCCTTCAAGCTGAACAGCAGTTAGTAATACAGAAACCTCTTGACTCTGCTCATTCTCATCCAACCCATTACTAAAGATTAAGAAACTGCTATTTCTTCTGCATGAGTTGACTTTCTCTTCACCTTAATTGGCTCCTCAGAGAAGCATTTAAGCAGTTTAAGAATTGGGGTTAAGAGGACACCAGAGGCCACTTACTCTAATTTATAACTGACCAAGACTCCCTTAAACAACGCCTCCCACAGATGTCCATCCAGACTTCACTAGAAGACTTTTAGTGCCGAATACACATGTGGGCTGCCCATTAGGGGTAGCTAGGGGGTGCAGTGGATAGAGAGCTGGACCTGCAGTTAGGAAGATCTGAGTTCAAATTCGGCCTCAAGCACTTACTGCCTATGTGACCCTGGGCAAGTCACTTCACTACTGTTTGCCTCAGTTTCTTCATCTGTAAAATGAGGATCATAACAGCAAACGAGATAATAACTGTAAAGTGCTTAATACAGTGCCTGGCAAATAGTAAGCACTATATAAATGTTAGATTTTGATGTTGTTATTATTATTATTTTTATTTCACCTGAAGATAGTTCTACCTCCACTTGGTGAAATCTTCCCTAAGTCAAAGCCAAATTTGTATTTTGCTCCCAGTTTTGTCTACTGGGGCCAAGTAAACAAGTCTAATCCCTTTAGTGTCTTGGTTGCCTGTTTATACCACTCTTTAGGTATTCAGAATGAGCCACCCAAATCCTCAAAGGTGGAAATTTTTCTTTTCTTCATTATTTCAATGATAACTGAATTCATCAATGTATGTATTACCTACATTTGAAGCAAAGTAAAACCCTTCTTTAATCTAGCTGACTATTGGGAGGCCGCATAATATTAAGGATATCGATGGAATGGAGAGTCAGGAAGACCCGGGATCAATTCCTACCTCAGAAATTTACTAGCTGAGTGACTGTGAATACATCATTTGATTTCAAGGCCTCGGTTTCTGCATCTGTGAAATGATGGAGTTGGATTCAATGATACCTAACGTCCCTTCCAACTTTAAATCTATAATCTACTAGGTGCAGCTAGGTGGCACAGTGGATAGATCTTTGGGCTTGGAGTCAAGAAGACCCGAGTTCAAATCTGGCTTCAGATACTTAACTAGCTGAGTAACTCCTGGCAAGTCACTTCACACTCAGTATCCAAGGCCACTCTCTAGGATGTTAAATTGCAGAGCTCAGGCTGACATGCACAGATTAGAGGGATTTTACTTAATAGTCATTTCCTATGCTAATGACATCACAGGTCTTCACTACCCCAAGATACCACATACACATTACCAAATATGCCATATAATGTAAAAGACCTTTTTAACCTTCCAAAATCAAACGTGGCAACTGAGCTTACAGCTGCAATTCTAGACACAATCAATGACTTCACTAAGAAGAAAACTGCAGAAGTCTTGGACTTTAAATCTGCTTACAATTTTTTATTCTATATTTACTCTTTCATTAGTCCAATAAATTTTCTTTCAATCCAGAATTAGAGCAATGAGACACTGAATTACATAAATGTCTGTTTAGCACATCAGACACACCCCTATCATCTTGCAATCCTCTGATTCACAGCTCTTAAAATGCAGAACCAAAAGAATGTCTATATGCCCTTTCATATTTATATTCCATCATGCAGTCACCCCAATAACTTATGCATCCTCAGAAGGATTACCTAGCAATTAACTTACATCTTTCAGAGTTCACCATCTCATTATGTAAAGTGGGTTTTAATACAAACTTTATCGGTAACTTTCAATTCTAATTCTCCCCCTATCCCCCCATAATGTCACTTCATACGTGACCAAAATGCTTTGGAAAATGGCCATCAGAAAGACAGCATTGGGCCGACAATGCATTTAGTAATTGTTCTTTGCACTAAAGGGCGGCACAATAAATTGTGACTGTCATTTCTCAACTGTGGCATGTGATAGAATTCTTTATCAAAATGGAAATGAATTTTCCCTGCCACACGATGAATCTTAGCTACATTCAGGAGACAGAGAAAAATAGGGAAATGGCTACCTTTATATGGGAAAACAAACAAACAAAAAAAAAACTTTGTAGGAAGGTGAAGGACTCTGAATGTGCTTCCTTTCAAGTGCTTACCAGAAAGAAAGAGCAGAGAAGGAGACTCGGTGAGTTATAACAGACATATGAAGTACACAAGCTGAAAGGAAAATTTGGGCCTTTCTTTACATGCATAAGTTCTGACAGGAACATGGCAAAGGAATGGCAACCCAACCAAGAAGACAAGTTGTCCAAAGGGATGATCAGGATGTCTCTGTGTTCTTGGCTTACCTAAATCAGGATCCGTGGCTTGCACTCTCGTTAACAAGGCTTTGGTGGCTGTGTTCTCATAGATGCAAGTGTTGTAATGGTCAGATGAAAATATGGGGGGGTTATCATTAACGTCTTCCAGAATCAGGCGGATGTCTGACTGGCAGAACCTGCCGCCCCCATCTGTTGCCCTGGCAATCAGGTTGTACACAGGAACTTTTTCTCGGTCTAAAAGGGCCAGGGTTTTTAATTCACCTGAGAAAAATAATAATCAAAAAATAAAAATAACAAAAATAATAAATAGCAGAAAAATTAAGAATGCAGAATCTATATTATATGGATCCACCAATACAGAGTGTATCATTCAATCAGTCAAAAGGTATGTATTAAGTACTTATTATATTCCAGGCACTGGGTTAAGTTCTGAGAATACAAAGAAAGACAAAAAACAGTCCCTGTCCTTAAGAAGTTCACCTTGGGGAAACAACATGTACATAAATAGATATGTGCAAGACTCACAAAGAGCAGACAGAAAGTAATCCTAGAGTACGGGTTTCTTAACTTGGGGTGTGAGAATTGCTTTTTCTTAATATTTTGATAATTATTTTAATAGGTTATTGTTTTTATTTGTAATCCCATGTATTTTATTTTATGCATTTAAAAAATGGTATTTTGAAGAGTCCATAGGTTTCACCAGACTGACAAACAGGACCATAGTGACTAAAAACAGGTTGAGAATCCCTGCTTTAGAGGGCTGATGGGGCACAAGAGAACAGTCTCCGTTTTGCTTCTCTTTCACCAACCAGGAAAGCATGAGGGTCTCTTGAAATACAGCAAACACATCTGCATATCCTTCAAAAGCACGTAACTAAACCCGCACATGGCCAAAAGCACAACATCTGGGATTGTTTCTTTTGGCAACTTGGGGGAACATAATGCATCTTTAGGTTTCTCAGCACCATGGTCTGGTCACAAACAACAGTAAAGCAGTATAAGCAGCACAGTTCACTAATGAAAACCTGACCCCAAACCCATCCTAGGGATCTACAACAGTTCTATGTCTCCATGTACAATGTTTTTGTCCCTTAGTACAGTACCTGGCACACTGTAAACATTAATAAATTGATAAAATGATAATAAATCAGTTTTATCTTCCTTTTCCTTCCTTCTTCCTTCCTTTCTCTCTTTCCCTCCCTCCTTCCCATCCTTTCCTTATTTCTTTCCTCCCTTCTTCCTTCCCTCTCTACCACAGGGAAAATGCAAAAAGCTGAGGATGACATAAATTTAATTACTGTCATTAAGAGAGAAGACCCTATGAGATGAGAGAAGGTATTTTAAAAATATCATCAGACAGAGGAACTGGCATAGTGACAGCCTTGAATAAAATAAAATGTGCGGTGGTGACAATTCATGGAAGGTGAAAACAAAGGAGAGTAAACAGTGTTTGGGTCTTGCCATGTAGACAGCTCAAAATTTTTACATCTTAGGCCAGTAGAAGCCTACTGCTGATGTGGCTATGTCAATGTGTCCCTTGTGAGCTGGGTCCCACTCTGGGCAAAAAAAATCTGCTCAACAAAATCAACAGTAATAGAAATTTGGAAAATGCAGGTCTTCTCCACACATTTTGTTAGGTTTTCATTAGATTTTGAACTTCCTGGGAGCAAGAACTGCTTCTTGTCTTTCTTTGAATCCCTAGCTCTTAGCACAGTGCCTGGTATATAGTAAGCACTTAATAAATGCTTGTTGACTTTAGTTAAGAGGCGAAGGTTGGAATCACATCTTTGACTTTTACTAGCTGCATGACTGAGGGTAAGTCATCAAACTTACCTGCTTTTGTTTCCTCATCTGTAAAATGGGGTAACATAAAAATATCTTTTTGGGAGGAAAGCAGTTTATAAATGCTGGTGGTTGCAATGGGGAGCAGGTCTGGACCTATGATTTCAATGATGTTGAGAAATTTTCTTAAATAATGTATATTAGTAACTCTGTAACTTACAGTCTTAGAATGTAAGCTCATGGTGATTTAGCACAGTGCCCAGAATTTGGCATGGAGCTTGGCCCACTGGAGGCACTTAATAAATCTTTATTGATTGATTGACATCTTGTCTAACATAGAGTAGGTGCTTAATAAACACTTGATGACTTTGACCCAAACCTAATGCTCAAGGTAACCAGGGGTTAAATGACTTTGTCATGTTTATACAATTGGTGTGTCAGAGACAGGACCTGAAATCCAGGGAGGTCTTCCTGACTTCAGGATCAAACTTCTGTCTCTTAGGCTACAGTGTCTGTCTTTGTGAACTTATACAAAGAAGTGAGGCATTACTTCCATTAGCTCCTGCCCTCACTACAGACATGTAACTTAAATTTCATATCCTTTCACTTTGCATATTTTACCTAGCCATGAATATAAGGCCATGGCCTAAAAAGAAAGTCTAATGAAAATCAAACAGTAATAATAGTGAGAAATCAGAAAGTAAACATAAAAGGGTTTCAGTTCCACCATTCCTTGATATTTACTTTTTTTTCCAGGGGGGTGGGACATAGATCCTAAGAATTATTCGCTGAAGGAGTTAAGTAAGAAGAAACAGGAAAACAATATACACTACGACTACAACCCTATAAATGGAAAGAAAAACAACAACAAAAAAGAGAAACTGAATGCTGTATAATTATAATGAGAAAATCTGACTTCCGAAAAGAGATGAGAAAATGCACCTTCCTCCCTTTTCTGCAGAGGTGGGGGACCATGGATGTGGAACACTGCATATACTGTCAAACTCAGATAAGGTACTGGTTGGATTTGCTGAACTGCTTTTTTATCCCCTCTCTTCTATTTTTTGTTATAAGGAATAGTTTCATCATGTAAAGGAAATGGGAAGAGATAGGTTTGGAAATGAAGTTTATACTAAAACAAAGTATATCAATAAAATGAAAAACCTGATTGACTGAAGGTAATTGTCTTCTTATAGCTTACTGAGAGGTAAAAAAGTATAGTAATTGGAAATGCCTAATGGGGGGGGCGCGCAGAGATATTGATAAACACAGGGTCAGGATAAGATTTCCGGTCAAAAATAATTTTTTTGTGGCTAAAGTAAACCACACAGGAGCCATTTCTCTAGTGCCATGGGACAAGACTGTAATATACGCAAAACTATTAAAATGAGATGCTTCTGCCTTTCCTAGATTCATATAAACCCTCTAAATAGGATGTGAGGATATGTATGCAAAACAACTTATAACCAAGAATGCAACATCAACGTAATCTATTATGAACTTTAAGCATATATATCAATAAGCAGGTCCTATTAGAGTACAGTGAGGCACTCATGTAATTTGCAAGGCTGGTTAGTCACCTACTAGTAATTTTATCATCTAAAAAGCACACCAGAGCTAGGGGGATAAGATTCAGTTGCATTTGTACCTAGGGATCAAAACTCTCATTTCACCAAAGAACATACAAAACCTTACCACTTTCTGGATCTAAGAAAAATTTGTTGTTTCCAGAGCCGTAGAGTGAGTATCTAATGTCTCCATTGGGCCCAATGTCAGCATCCTTGGCAGTGATCTTAAGGATGATTTTATTTGATGGAATGTCTTCTGGAAACAAAGCTGTGTATGCAACCTAGACAAAGGAGGAAAAAAATGTTTTTAATTATTTGTACATTTGGGTTAGTGTGGATTTTTTTTTTAAATCACAAAAACAGCCAAGATGGTGGAGTAAAAGCAGTGACTTGCTTGAGCTCTCCCCCAAACCCCTCCAAATACCTGTAAAAATGGCTCTAAACAAATTCTAGAGCAGCAGAACCCACAAAAAGACAGTGAAACAAATTTCCAGCCCAAGGCAACCTGGATAGTTGATTGGAAAGGTCTATTGGACCAGGCTGGGAGAGGAGCACAGGTCAGTGTAGGCCACACAGGCAAAGATGAGGCCTCAGTGAACCTGGAGCAGGCCTCAGGGGACTGAATCATGGGCAGCTGTGGCAGTTTCCAGACTTCTCAATCCACAAATGCCAAAGACTAAACTTAGAAGGTCAGTAGGAAAAGTCTGTGACTGAGGTGAGAGAGAAGCTTGGTTCCAGCCCCAGTCCTGCCACAGCCCCATGGTGGCAGCAGCTTCCAGAGCTCTCGGCCCACAGACTGAGGGGGAACTGAGTGGCTGATGAGAGGGAGATTGCAGGGATATCTTTGCTGGCACTGAGGCAGGACTCTCTTGCTTCGCCCGTGCTTGGATCTGGGTCACAGTTCTGGGTGGTGGTCCTGGGGTAAAGAGAAGTGTTGGCGTGGTGGAGCATGTAATGGTGGTAGGAAGAAAATCCTCCTCACAGTTCCAAGGCAGAAAACAGTGCTTGTGGTCACTGATAGACCAGAGCACAGGTCAGGAAAGGAGCACATACCTTGCCCTTGATTATACCACCTTGGAAGAACCGAAAATTTACAGGTCCCTAGAAGTATTTCTGAAAACAGCTGCACAAAATCCCCAAAGTTTGGGACAGTACATTCTCCATACTGGAAGCAGACCCCTACCTTAACAAAGAGTTTAAAACTCAAGTAATTGGCTGGGAACATGAGCAAACTATGCAAAAAAAAGTCAAACCATAGAATCTTTCTTTGGTGACAAAGAAGATCAAAACATACAACCAGAAGAAGACAACAAAGTCAAAGCTCCTATATCCAATGCCCCCAAGAAAAATATGAATTGGTTCCAGACCATGCAAGAGCTCAAAAAGGAGTTTGAGAAACAAGTAAGAGAAGTAGAGGAAAAACAGGGAAGAGAAATGAGAGTGATGCAAGAAAATCATGAAACAAGTCAACAGCTTGCTAAAAGAGACCCAGAAAAATACTGAAGAAAATAACACCTCAAAAACCAGACTAACTCAAATGGCAAAAGAGGTCCACAAAGCCAATGAGGAGAAGAATGCCTTCAAAAGCAGAACTGGCCAAATGGAAAAGAAAGTCCAAAAGCTCACTGAAAAAAATACTTCCCTAAAAATTAAAATGGAGCAAATGGAAGCTAATGACTTTATGAGAAATCAAGACATTGTAAAACAAAACCAAAAGAATAAAAAAATGGAAGGCAATGAAAAATATCTCACTGGAAAAACAACTGACCTGGAAAATAGATCCAAGAGAGATAATTTAAAAATTACTGGACTATCTGAAAGCCATGATTAAAAAAAGAACCTAGATATCATGTTTTAAAAAATTATCAAGGAAAACTGCCCTGATATTCTAGAACCAGAGGGTAAAATAGAACTGGAAAGAATCCACTGATCACCTCATGAAAAGAGATCCCCAAAAGAAATTGTAACCAAATTCCAGAATTCCAAGTTCAAGGAGAAAATATTGTAAGCAGCCAGAAAAAAAACAATTCAAGTATTGTGAAAACACAATCAGGATAACACAAGATTTATTAGCTTCTACATTAAGGGACCACAGGGCATGGAATATAACATTTCAGAGGTCAAAGGAGATGGGATTACAGCCAAGAATCACCTACCGAGCAAAACTGAGTACAATCCTTCGGGGGAAAAAAATGAACATTCAGTGAAATAGAGGACTTTCAAGCATTCTTGATGAAAAGAACAGAGCTGAATAGAAAATCTGACTTTCAAATACAAGACTCAAGAGAAGCATGAAGAGGTAAATGGGAAAGAAAAATCACAAGGGACTTATTAAGGTTGAACTGTTTACATTCCTGCATGGAAAGATGATATTTATGACTCATGAGACCTTCGTCAGTATTAGGGTAGTTGGAGGGAAAAAATATATATGTATTTATATCTATCTATCTATCTATCTATCTATCTATCTATCTATCTATCTATCTGTATATGTGTATACAGATAGATAGATAGATAGATAGATAGATAGATAGATAGATGGCACGGGGTGAGTTGAAGATGAAGGGGTGAGAGAGGATTATACTGGGAGAAGGAGAAAGGGAGAGGTAGAATGGGGTAAATTAGCTCACATAAAACAGACAAGAAAAGGGGAAGGTGAGAGGGAATGAGAGAATCTTATTCTCATAGGATTTGGCTTAAGGAGGGAATATCATATGCAACTGGCTTTGGAAATCTATCTTACCCTACAGGAAAATAGGAGGGAAGGGGATAAAAGAGTGGGGAGATAATAGAGGGGAGGGTAGATTGGGGGAGGGGGTAATCAGAAGCAAACACTTCCGAGGAGGGACAAAGAAAAAACAAAACAAAGCAGATGCAGATAATTTAGTTTCTAGCTATTTTTTTTTCCCATTTAAATAGTCATACGGATGTCAAAGATGAATTCCAAGTTGCAGAACACCAGAATTATATATACACATATATACATACATGCATAAATATATAAATTAAAAAGTGTATATATCTCTATCTAGATTCACACAAGCAGAGAGAGAGACAGACGGACAGACAGAAACACACACACACAGAGAAAGAGAGAGAAAGAGAGAGAGAGAGAGAAAGAGAGAGAGACAGAGAGAGAGACAGAGAGAGAGAGAGAGAGAGAAATAGAGAGAGACAGAGAGCACACGTTAAGGTTTACAAAGCCTTATAAATGATCTCATTTGATCCCCACTATATAACCCTGTATCATTGCTATTATATAGGTGAGAAAAACCTAAGCTAAGAGAACTTAAATGGCCTGCCCAGAGCCACACAGCTAGTCTGAGTCTGAGGAAGGCTTTCTACCCAGGTTTTCCTGACTTCAGGTACAGTATTCTGTCTATTAGGCCATGCTTCTGTTCTGTGTTGGGAAACTACATGGAAATGGTGATTTGATTTTGGGGAATCACAGAAATGTCTAGTGTAATGGGGATAGGATTTTGCACCTTGGATTTAAATGAGGCAACTGGAACCCAGGGGGGGAAAGTGAATTATTTTCAAGGTTTCCTGGTTAGTAGGTAATAGGATTGTGACTAAATCCCAAGTTTTAAAGTCTACACTTCTTCTGTGACATTTTTGCTAATTAGGAATCCATTCTGGCCACTCATGGCCCTTTCACATCTGGATCACTTTATTCTAAATTCTATTAAGTGGCTAGCAAGTGACAATCTTACTAAACCTAAGAAGGAACTGAGCTGAATTACTACATTAACAGGACATTCACATTTTTCAAATGATTAGATTATCAGAAATCTTTGTGTGCAGACCACCCGAGTTAAATTATCTAATTAATGGCATTCCATTTTAATTACCACAAATAAGGATACAAGCCTGTTAGCATGACACCTAGTGTCAGCCAGGTTGCTGTTGCTCAGTCACATCCAACTCATTGTGATCCCGTGGAGTCTTCATGGCAAAGATACTGGAGTGGTTTGCTATTTTCTTCTCCAGTGTATTAAGGCAAAGAGAGGTTAAATGACTTGCCTAGGGTCACACAGCAAATAAGTGGCTGGGGCTGGATTTGAACTCAGGTCTTTTTGACTCCAGACCTGGTGCTCTATCCACTGAGCTACCTACCTACCTGTCAGTCATGCACACATGAGCATTAGACTGGTGAACAGGTAGTTCTTTTTCTTTACATGTGTTAGTTAAGTAGGATTTTTTTTTACTTGGAAAAATCTCAAAGGGTCTCAATTTCAGATAAGGCAGGCCACTTTTAGGGCTACACTTTAGATGTACCTATTCTATTACTACTACCACTACCACTATCGCTACCTTTACCGTTACCACTACTGCTACTATTACTATTACCACTACCCAGCATTTATGAAATGCTTTAAGGATTGCAAAGCACTTTATAAATATTATCTCATTTTATGCTTGAAGTAAGCCTAGGAAGTAGGCACTATTGCTCCCTACAGGAAAGAAATGAAATGAGGTCCCTTAAAAGTCAACAATAGGAAAGCACAGATTAGTGAGAAAAAGGATGAGAAGCATCTGACTCACCTGGTCACACACTGGACTGTTGTCATTCACATCAGTGACAGTGACTTCCACCATAGCCTGAGTGACAAAAAGCCCATCTGTGGCAGTGACGTTCAGGAAGTAAACATCTTGTTCTTCTCGATCAAGGGGTCGCTTTACATAAACCTTCCATTCATTTTGCACCAGGCCCAGGGCGAATCTTCCTCTGGGATTCCCTCCTACAGTCAGAGAAGAAATCGATCTTCTTAAGTTTCTGAAAGAAAATGCCTTCTATACTAAAGCTACTGGAAAAGGAACAAGAAGCTGGTCTCACTTCCTTCTCAAACTCAATGTTGCAGCATACTAAAAAATGACAACTCAAAAATCCTAAATCCATCTGATTCTCCTGCAGCAAAGCATGACATTTATATACCCTGTGTGGAAACAAATAACTTCCAGAGAAAACAAAATCCATTCAGAGGAGTTTGAGATGATCTCTTGTTTGGTTTCCCTGAAGGACGATCAAATTCAAACTGTGAACAATCAATAGTCTTCTTAGAACCATATGACTGACTGTCTTTCCACTTAGTCCCAGAAGAGGATGTAATACACCACAGCTCTTGTTACCAAGACAATTTCATTAGCTGTTGATTATGTAATCAAGGAATGGCAGTGAGTTCTATTAAGGAATCTTGTAATGAAGGTTTATCACACAGCTGTGCTGTTCTTACCCAGGAATAGAGTTGGGCTTTTTTATTTTATTTTTTTTTTAAGTTTTTTAAGGCACAAAGATACATTGACATTTTAAAAAGCCCCTAACAAAAGGGTCATTGAAGAAGCCCTTTAGAGAAAAAAGCACTATAATTAGTAAATGCTTAATAAATGTTTATCAACTGACCTCAGTTAGATCAAATTTATCAGTGAGTAACAACTAAGAAAAGAATGGAGAGATGTGACAGAACAGCTTTCTGTTTGGACTGGAATGTGCTGAAGCTGAACCTGGCAATAGGACTGCTCCACATCATTTAACTTTGTGATGATAAAAGTAGAGAAAGAAGAGCAGCAAAAAAGAAAATGAAAAAGGGTCTGCCATCTCTTCTACCCTCCCATCCCACTGCATGACAACGTGCAATTAAAATAGGCAAAGACGTTAGGTATGGTCTTTGGCTAACAGTCTGTTCATGCCATTCACCTGCTCAAGAAGCTTCAGTGGCCCCCTAGTGCCTCTTAGAGAAAAAGAAGACTCCTCTGGCATTTAAAGCCTTTCTCGATTTGGTTCCAAACTCTTCAAAGCCTGATTTTGTATCACTTGCATTCATGCACTCTGTGTCCCAGCCAAACATGGAATACTCCTCAACTTGCGTTTGCATCTGTCCCCCATACTTCCTTCCCTCCATACTTCTGCCTCTTGGAATCCTGTGCTATTATTGTGAAGGCTCATCCTCTCGAGGTCTACAGTGGTGGAAGGAAACACTGTGTATTTATTTTTCTGCATACAATCTACATTTAGTTACCTGTATATGTGCTACTTCTCCCCAGGAGTGTAGGCTTAAACAGGAACTGTTCTCATTTTTGGTTTTGTACCCCCTAATGCCCACCACAGTGCTTGGCACAGAGCAGATGCTTACTAAATGTCTGTTAAATTGAATTAAGTTAACATCTGCCAGGGATTTTGACTTCATTGGAAAACAGGAGAGACCTCACCTTTTCCTCCAGGGATCTTAAAAGACAGGAAGTCAGAGAACATATTCTTATCTAGTGGAACACCTGAGGGAGGGAGAGTGAAAGTCCAGAAAGGGAGTTCTAATTTGTGACCTTGGAGCATATTTATGTCATGAGTCAAATGGTGTTCCTCTGGTGAGGGAGACATAGAGAATACTTTTAACTGCTCAGAGAAACTGTTGACAAAAGGTATGGGCCCACATTTCTCTCGGGAAGATCAGGATGGGCCGATAAGCCCTCTACCATCCACTAAAATCTAATTATGCTACCACTGATTATTTTGACATGCACAAACTTAACCTGTTCTGTTGCACTAAATTGTTTCTGTACAGGCTGCAACTGTTCTTCTGCTATCGAAAATGACTAATGATCTTTTGTTAATCTGGAGCATTATGGCCAAGTTGTCTGTAACCAACTGCTACGTAAGAAGGAAAAGTGAAATCTAATTAACGTTAAGTCGGTTGGTATCGCCAATACTAATTGTAGCTTTAAGCTACTGTGTGCTCCCCACTTGTGTAGAGTAGATGAGATAGTGTATGGACCCTTTAAATCACTGAGATTTCAGGGAAAGTGCATAAATAATTAGAAAGGCACATTTAAACTTCAGTCTTCCTAATGAGAAAGAGTTCCTCAGAGTGTCTATAAGGTTTCTGTAATAAAAGCGAAAACATATAAATCAAAGATGATTCACATGTCTCTTCTCCTCCTTCCTATTATCCTTCATTCCTCTACTGCAGAAATGTACATTTTGCAGATGGAGGGCTGACAGTATGTGATAAAGCATAAAATGCATAATGAGATTTAAACAGCAAACATTGTAGGGAAAACAGTTTCATGAAAGCAAAAAGAGGGAAAATGCTGAAATGAAAGGTACCTTTTGCTAATGCTCATATGTATGCCCTGCTGCAGCTCTTATTCAGTAGTGATTAATTAACTTTTCCACTAACATACTTAAGCAGATTCCATGTCCTAAGGGCAGTCTAATTAATTCCTTTTTCTCTCTGAATAATGCAGTTTTTCTAAAAGGAAGCCACCTGACTACAAGTATTGATGGATTCTTTAAAATCTTCTGTCACTTTACCTAAGTCTTGCCTTTGAACGTCCCAACATCAAAATATTGACCTGAAAACCCTCAAAACAATTTTTAGGAGGACTGCTCACCATTCATTAAGGTTCATTTTCTCCTGGCAACTGTCCCTTAATTAGCTACACCCATTTGCTAATCTAATAATGCTCCTACCAGGAAAGGCAGACAGTGCAATGGTTCTCAAAGTGTGGTACAGGGACTCCTGGGTCCTTCAGATCCTTTTAGGGGGTCTGGGAGATCAAAACTATTTTTGTAATAATACTAAGATATTATTTGCCTATTTTAAATATTCCTCCCTTTTCCAACTACATATCTGTGTGAGGCTGGATTGTCCTCATATACCTCAACCAAAACAACCTTGTAACAGACTGAATGCAGAAGCAGATATAAGAATCCAGCTGTTTTCTATTAAGCCAGACATTAAAGAGATTTGCAAAAACACATAAAACAATGTCACTTTTCTCACTAAATATTTTTTTGTTTTGGAAAATACGGTTTTCTTTTCATAATTTTTTTATGCTGCAATGTAATGGATTGTTTTTTTTTTAAAAAATGTATCAGATTTAATTTCTAATACAGTAAATTTTGTTATTTATAATCCACAAAGAACAAAAGCTCTTTGGAGTTCTCAATATTTTTTTTGGGGGGGGAGGGGATACAATCAGATTTGCCCAGAGTCACACAACTATTAAGTGTCTGAGGCCAGATTTGAACTTAGGTCCTCCTAACTCCAGCACCAGTGCTCTACTTCACCACCTACCTGGCCTCCTCAACAATTTTTTAAGAGTGTAAAGGGGTCCTGAGACCACAGATACTGAGAACTGCTGGTATAATGGATAAAGTTCCTGACTTGGAATCAAAAGTTCTGAATTTAAATCCTTCCTCTCTTGCCAGTTGTGAAACTATGGGCAAGTCACTTATGAGAGGCTTATAAAATGGGGATATTTGTGCTACCTATTTTTCTAGTCTTATTACACCTTATTCTGCTTCACCGAATCTATGAGCTGGTGACACTGGCCTCTTTGCTAATAAGCAATGCACTCTGTCTCTTGACTGAGGGAATTTCACTGGCTGTCCCCCATCCTTGGAATACTTTCCCCTCCTCTCTGCCTCCTGGCTTCCTTCTGGTCTCACCTGAAGTCCCATCTTCTACAAGAAGCCTTTCCTGGTCCTTCTTAATCTTAGTCCCCCATTGCAGGTCAAATATTAGTGTTCATGTTTTTTACTCTCAACAGAAAAGATTCCTTGGGATGGGACAATTTATTTTTCACTGAACTAGGAATGGTGAGAAAATTTATTGACAAACCACCATAAAAGTTTCTCCTCAAAAGACAGTGTTTATTTTCTCCGGCTGAGAATTATTCTGTGCTGATCTGGTTTTCATGCCAAACCATTTGAACAGCACCATATATTAATCTGGTAAATTTGGCAGTATATGAGTATGTGTATATGGGTCCCAGTTTTCTTTCTTTAAACTCTCCCTTTTCCTCTTCAAAACAAAACAAAAAACCATATCAAACTCACTCTAAGCAGATGAGTTATTAACCATAAATAACCTGTGAGGAAAATAAAAAGGATATTTAGAAGACAGATAATTTCAAGTGCTAGTAGCTCTTCTACAAAGCTAATCTCCTCAATTCTAAAATGTAAATTTTTCCTGAGGGCAGGGCCTGTTTTGTTGATCTTCATCTCCCCAGCACTCAGTATACAGTTTCTGTACTTAGTAGGAATTTAAGAAATGTTTGAACTGAGTTCTCCTTGTCTCTCCCCCCTACCCTCACTTTCCTTCTTTTTCAGACAGCTACACAAATAATAGAAACAGGGGACTGACCTGTAATATGATAGCTCACTTGCTGATTAATGTCAGATGTGTCTTCATCCCATGTGCTGAGGACTGCTACAACTTCACCTGGGGGGTCACTCTCTTTCACATGCTCTCGGTATACTTCATGCCCAAAGACAGGTGCATTGTCATTTATATCTGTCACGGTGACAGAGACCAGGATTGTGGAAGAGAGAGAGAAAGCTTCTCCAAGGTCAGAGGCTACCACTGAGAAAGTGAATGTGGGATCTCTCTCATGGTCCAGATCTTTCAAGGTGCTGATCCAGCCAGTGTTACTATCAATACTGAACGCTTCCATTATCTTTTCTGGATTGGAATCAGAGTGGAGGGCATAAGTCACCTGCCCATTGGCACCCCAATCTCTATCAACAGCCTTCACTTGAATGAGCCTGGTGCCCACAGGCATTCCCTCCATTATGATGGCTTCATAGCTTGTAGCATCAAAGAATGGTTTATTATCATTTAGATCTAATACCTTGATTTCTATGTCAACAGTAAACACAATATCCACCCTGTCCAAGGGGATGGTGGCTGCAACCTTAAAGTGAAAAGCAGGGGTCATTTCACGGTCAAGTCGCTTGTCCAGTTTGATGGTGCCAGTGTCCTGCTCTATGATGAAGACCCCGCCTCTGTTATTTTCAGGCCGTTCACCATTCACTGTGCTAAATACAACATTTTGACTTGGCAAAATCCTGAGAGTATCCACTGTGTTTCCAATGACAGCATCTTCTGGAATGGCGAATGAATACTGGGGCTGGGTAAATGAGGGTAAGAGTATTTCAGGAGGCAAGACGTGAATATAGACAGGAATGAGGGAGTGCTTTACAGGAATACCACCATCAACTGCTTTGACAAAAAACGACAAGACAGTGTTTTTCAACTGGTGAAAATTACTCTTCGTGACCATCCAGCCATTGTCAGGGTCAATTTCAAGAAGATCTGCTACTGAGACAGAGGCTTCACTGTACAGTGAATAAGTAATCCTTGAATTCACTCCATCATCCGGATCAATGGCCTGAACCTGGGTTACCAAGTGACCTCTTCCAACATCAGCTCTGACACTAGCTCTATATTCTACTGTCAAAAATTGGGGAGCATTATCATTTTCATCCACAACAATCACCCTCACAGTACAGAAAGTTGTTCTCCCTCCACCATCCAGGGCCCTCAAAAAAATACTAATGTCTCCTTCCATTGGGCTTTCCCGATCCAGCCTTTCTGTTGTTATGACTTGCCCATTGTTGTCTATCAAGAATCGGTCCTTAGCAAAGTCATTGATGATAGCATAACTGATTTGCCCATACGTTCCTGGATCCCCATCTGTTGCTCTAACATGAATTACCTTTGTTCCTGGGGCAGCATTCTCTCTCACTTCGGCAACATAGGTGCTTTGTGAAAAGGCTGGACTGTATAAGTTAGCACCAAGTATCCTGATATGCACCTGTGCCGTGCTGGTAAACAGTCCATCAGAGACAGACACATTCAAACTATACAGAGGTTCCATTCTCTGTTTCCGGTGGTTGGACAGAGTGATGACACCGCTCCTGCTATCCATTAGAAAACTTGTTCGGTCATTCCCAGATAAAATGCTATATTCTAACCGGTCAAAATCAGAGCTGTCAGCATCAGAAGCTTGTACACAGGTCACAAAATGGCCCCGTGGAGCTAATTCACTCACATAGGATTCATAAATCAGCTGGTTAAAAACTGGAGGGTTGTCATTCATGTCAGTCACATAAATATTAACGAGTACCTCGCTGCTCATTGGTGGGAATCCATTATCTGTTGCCCTGACTTTTAAAGTGGATTGTTGTACTGATTCATGGTCTAACATGCGGGCTGTCAAGATTAAGCCACTTGTGCTATCTATGTGAAAATAATCAGTACTATTATAGGTGTCCTGGACGATCTGATACTGTACAACTCTATTGTTTTCTGAATCTGCATCAGAGGCTACCACTTGCAAAACGGGTGTCCCAATGAGAGAGGCTTCAGATAAGGTTGCGTTGTAGGTGGGTTGATCAAAAATGGGGGGATTATCATTTACATCATTAACTAGCAAGTCGACAGTGACCTCAGCCCTTGCACCAGTGAGAGCATCACTGGCTCTAACTGTCAATTTAAAAACAGGTGTTACTTCATAGTCCAGTGGGCTAATGACATTCAGAACTCCAGTGTCAAAGTCAATGTTAAACTGATTGTAAGGGTCCCCATCAACAATGATGTAAATGATTCCTTGTCCTTCTGGGCTGGTTGCATTGATGCTAAGAACAGGAGTATGCATTTCTACATCCTCATTGACAGAAGTTGTGTAAAAAGGCTTATCAAATACAGGCATTGCTTTGTTGACAATAGTGATAGGAAGCTCCACTGATGCAGACAATGCAGGCTTTCCACCATCTTTGGCTAGGATGATAACTACATACTCAATGTTAGATAAGTCAGAATTGAATGCTTCTTTTAAAAAAACACTCCCTGATTCTGGGTTAATTTCAAAGTGGCCATAGTCCTCTTGGAGGGTATAGGTCACTTCACCATTGGCACCTTTGTCTCTGTCAAGAGCAGTTACCCGGTAGATGAGAGTCCCAGGTTCGGCATCAACCTGCACAGCAGCATAGTAAGGCAGCCCTACAAACACTGGAGAGTTGTCATTGATATCTTCAATGTTTACTCTGACGACTACCCTGGCCACACGCAGATGGTCTAACTCACGACTGGCTTCTACCACCAACTCATACAACTCTTGTTCTTCACGGTCAAAGGGGACACCAGTAGTCTGGATGACCCCAGAGGTAGATTTTATTTTGAACTTGTTTCCTGGATTCAATATGCTATATATTAAAGGTTCATTAAGGCGATTTCCAATTGCATTGACAATGGCTACTTTGGTGATGTTGGTACTATTCTCTGAGATTGAAGCAAAGTAAAAACTCTGTGTGAAATGGAGACCACTGTCCATGGCTTCTTTTACCATGATGGTCACCCTAGCAGTACCATAAAACTTACCGTCTGACACTCTGACTATAAGCATATAATGATCTTTGGAAAGGCTGCTGTTTTTTATGGAGAGCACCCCACTACTGGAATCAATTAAAAAATAGTCCAAGCTGCCTTCCATCAGACTGTACGTCAGGTCAGCTGGTACTTCTGAGTCGGGATCTGTTGCTTGGACTTTCAGAATCTCCACCCCAATATAAGTGGGTAGAAGTAAGACTGTCTCAAATACTGCCTGAGTGAAAACTGGAGGGTTATCATTCACATCTGTCACCTCGATATTGACCTCAGCTGGGCTTTCTGCAGTCAGCTGAGGATTACCACTGTCTCTCACATGAACGTGAAAATGGAAATGGGCAATGGTTTCATGATCCAAGCTGGCGATTGTTCTGATGGCACCCGTGCTGGAATCCACAGTGAAAAACTTCTTAGCAGTGGACTCAACAATCTGATAAACTAGCAAAGCATTCTGATTACTATCAGCATCTGTGGCTCGAATCACCAATGGATTGTTACCTGAGCTACGGACGATGCTGTTTACTGGGGCAACCTCACTGAGGCTGCCTGAGTACTGAGAAAAGAGGAAAATGGGGGGATTGTCATTTTCATCAACAATCTGAATATTAACTGTGGCATTGGACGCCATCCCTGCCATGTTGGTGGCTTGGATGGTGAGTTGATAAGAGGAAATGTGTTCATAATCAAGGGCCTTTTGATTGGTTATCACACCAGAATATGGGTTTATGGTAAAGACCCCTTCAATATTTCCATCTTTGACTTCATAAATTAGTGTAGATTGACTGATGGCAGAGATTAAAATGACTGATGTCCCAATGTCGACATTTTCATTCACTTCTGCTTGGTATTCTTTCTGAGTAAACTTGGGGTGAGAATTATCTGACATGGTGACAGAGATGCGGACGATGGCAGTAGCAGACATCGGTGGGGAGCCCTGATCGGTGACTTTTATGGACAAAACGAACTGTCCCATTGTTGTCATATCTGGTTCTTTTGAAACGGTAATGATACCCAAGATGGGCTCAATCTTAAATGTGTTTCCAGTGTTTCCTAAAACACAGAAATTGGAAAAAAAAACCAGTTACACTTGTTTCAAAAAAACATTTTTTTTCTGAATACCATTTCCTTAAAAGATAGCTTAGGGCAACAGAACAAGCCAAAAGAAGATTTTTGAACTCACTTATTTTGATCTTAATGTAAATGAGAGATGCTTCTTTGATTATTCGTAACTTACTGTCAGTCTGGGATTAAAGAAATAGGCAGGTTTTCCCATAGTGGGCTAAAGAAATTGGTGTACTAGGCACATTTGAACTAAACAATATAATGAGCTGAAGGTGATTTTCTGCTAGGATTGATTAAGATTTTCTTTCCTCTCTATCGTTCTGTGGAAAGGTATAGTTCAGGCACAGAACATATATATGAAACACAGAGAAAAATACCTTCATCTAAAATATGAATATAGTATATGTTAGTGGGTACTGACAGAACATCACAAGGATGATTTTTTTTCACATTCCAAATGAAAACATTCTGCAAAAGTGAATCAGGCAGGTATTTTTCCCTACCTAAACTTTCATGTATTTTTTTCATGGATAAACCTTTCATTTGTGTAACTGGTTATGTTCAGGTTACTTGAACTGTCAAGAAATGATAGTCATAGCATGTTATATAAATTGTTAAGGCTTACCCCAACCCAACCCAACAATTAAATAAAGAAATGAGAACACTGCTCTGACCTGTGGTGTTCCAACCCTATAAGTGTTGAAAGGATTTGTTGCGAATGATGAAAATGTGTACAATCTGAATTCAGTAATTAAAATTAGCATCTTTGTGTCACAGCATTCATGGATCAGAGAAACCAGAAGCCACATTTTGACATATTTAGAATTGGAAAAGCTGTCAACAATTATATTGTGAAAACTCAGAGCTTTGAAACAAACACTGGTTTGAAGTTCAGAAAGCAGACAGAGATTCAGATGAAAGAGACTGGAACTATATAGTATGGAAGATAAAACCAGGAGTGTGTAATGAAGGGAGGTGGGTGACATATATCTTGAAAAATGTAGCTGGTGGGATGAACCATCTCTAATCATATGTTTTCCCTCCCTTCTCTTATCAGGCATTCTCCCATTTCTCTAACAACTCATTTGCTCTCAGACCTGGATTCTTTGAATTAAAATTTACATTTCTTGCTAGTTTAAATATCTTTTATTCCTTCTGAGGTAGTGCATGATGGGAGACATACAGACGATTTACTAAATGTCAAAACCGTTAAGGCAGGCTCAAGACTACAGAGGGCAGATAACAAAATGGGTCTGGCTATAAAAATGAATAGCTAAGTCACTGAATCTTCTAGGTACAGACTTATTGAGTAGAAAAAAAAGTTTTATTTTCCTAAATAAAGGCATAATGACTAAAGCATTTATTGAGATTTTCTTTTGTCCCTAGCTGGCAGTGTTCATCTAAGCTCTATTTCCAAGTGAGACATCCTTATTTCCCACAGCAGAGAACATTTGGTATATGGAAACCACTTGGCTCAGGCCTAGAAAGCGCACGTTAGATCATCAGGCCCTCTACATGAGTGAGTTCTTATTTTTCAGTCTAAAACAAAGCTAGATTGTGATCTTTACTACACAGTCAAGGATACATGTCCTATGTACACTTTCAAATGTTCAATTTCTTAACAATCTGTAATTTGCTCTACTTATTTCTGTGTAACTTATTGTCTTAGGGAGTTGCCCTGGGGGAGCTGAGAGGTTAAGTGACTTGCCCAGGATTATACTGTCAATATATGACAGAGTCAGCATTTGAACCCAGGTCCTCTGACTCAAAGGATGGCTCTCTGTCCACTAAGCGATACTACCTATCTAGCTGAGAAAATTGCGTCAGTGGGAGGTTTCCTATACTAGCGAAATCATGGCCATAGGCCAAAAGAGGTATATTGGTTTAATGGATGGTACTCTGCACTTGGGAGCCAAAATGACCTGAGTTAAAATCCTACTTCAGACATGTAGTTACTGTGTGACCTTGGACAAATCACGTAACCTTTTCTAGCCTCAGACTCCTCATCTGTAAAATGGGAGTAACAGCTACTATCTTACAGGGCAGTGATGAGGATCAAATGAGATAATTCAGGTAAAATGCTTTGCAAACCTCACAGTGCTATATAAATGGTTATTATCACTAAAAACATTTTGTAAGATATGTTTGCATTTCGGCATGGAGAAAGGAATAAATTCTCTTCATAGTGGAAAACAGAAAATACAGCAAAACCCTGAGTAGCGCTGGGCATGATATTATGACAGGCATCTGAGAGGCTGTGATAGATCCAGAAGAAGGTGACTTAGGACGGTGAGGGGAAACAAATCCTGTCCCAGGAGGACTGGACAAAAGAGAGGGACTCACTGTAGTGAAGACTTGAAGAACGGGCAGTGGGGACACAAGATAGCACTGTCACACAGAGAAACCTGTTTTGTTCTGTGCAGCTTCAGATGTAGGACCAATGGACTGGAGTTACAAGGAGGCTGACCACAGTGAAAAAGAAGGAAGAACTTTCTAGGAACTAGGTCTGTCCTAAGATGGGATGGCCTCCAGGCAGTGAGTTTTAAGATATCACTGGAGGAATCAAGCAGGTGTTCCCCACCCCTCTTCCTATTTTTTTATTCATTACAAAAGATGGCTCTTTGGGGAACGATATATTTGAAAAGGGAAATTATATAAAAACAAAAGATTTCAATACAAGTTTTAAAGGAGAAAGTTCCTTTTTTTTCCAAGTATGAAGTAGAAGTTGGATCAGTCAATTAATCAGTCAATCAATCAATCAATAATTAAGAACCATTAAGGACTTACTATGTGTCAGGCACTGTGCTAGGGGCCACAGATGAAATGATATAAGTGACCAACATATAGAAAGGTTTCCTATTTGAAACAGGAGGCTGGCCTAAGTGACTTATAAGGTTTCTATCTAAACCTAACTTGAGTTATCTTATTGGAGGGCACAACCTAGGCCCCTAAAGTAGTTAATTCTCTTTAGAAAGAGCTTAATAGGGCATCAGACACAATTTGGTACTTCATACACTAAGCACTTTTCCCTTATGATATGATGATTAAGAGTCTCTTTTCAAGGAAGTTGTGTTTTTTTCCCTTCTCTAATATTTTCTAGTCCAAAGCTGTCACTGAAACATTCATATTTTAATTGTAACCACTCATGGAAGTACTTCACACTTAAATTAAAGGAAAGAAAACTCCCTGCCACTGGCAGGAAAAGAAATTGCATTTGGCATCATCTGTAACAGACATAATGTTACAGAACATTTCAGAAAATATGTGGTTTGAATATTTAAGGGAAAAAAGAGACAGAAAAATCTAAGGAAAAATATAGGAGGGAAAAGAAGACTGTCATCTTTGCTTTGTGGGACTGCTCGAGCCATGGCCATTTTATTTTTTGTCAAAAAAATGATTTTGGTTTCTAATCTTTAAGCCATCAGTTTTATCTTATGGAAGTAAGGCTAATTATATATACCTATATATCTATATATGTATATGTATATATGTATATGTGTGTATATGTATATGTATATATAAAGGAGAGGGATTAAATTGACTGCCTGGGAGACTAATATCCTGTATTTATCTGAAAGCCCAAGAAAGTTCCAGGCTCCATACCCCCAACTCCTTCCACTATTGGACTAACTGTAATGTATTACAGTAGTCTTGGCCTTAAGGATAGTGGGAATTTATAAGACTTACATTATGACCACATTCAACTAAACGAAGCCTCCTAAGGGTCAGTGTAGAGAAGACATTCACAGCTGTCACATGTAGTGATATTCTGTTTACTATGGATCTAGTCTTTGACCTGGTTACTTGAAGGTAAAAAAGACTTTAACTTTTGTACACCTTTACTGTATCTTCTCCATGCAAGAAAAACATAAAGGTTGGATGAAATATTATCAACTGTTTTTTACTCTACGTACTCCTGAATCAATAGGTATTCATTCAAGAAATATCACGTCATTCAAAAAAGAAGACAATATATTATATGCACACTGCATTTTCCCAGGAGAAAGTAGGGTCCATGGTTTTGTCTTTCTACAGAGTAGGTACTTAATAAATATTTGTTGGATTGGATCAAACTGTTTGGCCAGAGGATGAATTTAGGGATTTTCTGTGGCTATCTCCAGATACATTAACTTGGACATGAATGCTAGCCACTGTTCACCCCAGACACCAGAGCCACAGTCTGATCCTAGAATCAGTTCTCACCTGCTTCTATGGTGTATATAAGCTCTGCATTTTCCCCTCGGTCTTTATCCAGAGCAGTCACTTGCAGAACGGCCGATCCCAAAGCTGCAGATTCAAATACAGATGCTTCGTACAGGGGGCTGGTGAAATAGGGACTATGATCATTGGCATCTTCTACATTCACGATGACTCGGGCCAAGTTTCTCCGATAAGGAAATTCCTGATCCCTGACCTTCAGGCAAACCACAAGAAACAATGAGTGTTAATCAGGAGTTCAAATGCCTTGTGATGAATGAAAATGCAAAGACCTCATTTCTGAACTTGTTCATGGCTAGTGTGGAGGTAGTGGGGAGAACACTGGATATGGAGTCAAAATGCTTGAATGAGCACTGAATCAGCTCTGCCCCTTACTGGTTGTGTGATCTCAGACAAGTTATTTGATTTTCCCAAACTCTAATTTTCTCAAACAAATTAAAAAAAGGGGCTGGTATTAAGTTCTCTTGGCATTGTCATTATCTAAAATAATCAATCTCCATTGCAAAGGTGGGGCCTCTTCTCTTCCATAACTTAGGGGCTCACCGCAGGTTTCAGTGTGTTTTGAAATCTAATTGAAATCTATTTTACATGTGTTTATTGCTGGGTCTTATGTTGATATAGTGAACAATATATAAAGCTGTTGAACTCCCGAGGATTGCGCAGAGCGTAGATCAAGCAAGTGATTATCCTTATGATTAACTTCTCAAAGGATTTCTAAACTTTTCCATTAAATCCTCTAAGGACTACCCCCAACATCAGACATGAAGAAAATTGAGAAAATAGGGCCTACTCTTTCCTTTTCAATATCTATTTAGCATCTGCTATTTGCAGGGCTTTCTTGGCATTTCAGTTTAGAAAAATATGTAGTTGATTTCTAGTGACAATAATTCTTCACCTAAATAAAACAGCAAAAAATAAATGCACAATCAATTGTGAACAGATTAAATTGATGACTGCTTAGTAAAATTTAGTGCCCTCACACATCTGAAAGCTAACGCACATGCCTTGAATAGCTAATGATCCTGCACGGAGAGCAAATGAATAGTTCTGTCTTACCATGATGTTAAGAATGTGCTTGTCTTGGGCCTCGTGGTCTAGCCTCTCAGCAACGTACAGAACCCCGGTACTGGCATCAATCCGGAATTTCCTCATGCTTACTGAGTCGATACTGCTGTGGATAGCGTAACTTAGTTTATGTTTTTCATCTCTGTCTGTTGCCTCAACCTGTAATATCTCAGTGTCTGGCAGTACGTCCTCAGAAATCGTGACATCGTAACTTGGTTGAGAGAATTCGGGGCCATTATCATTGTTATCCAGCACTTTGATAAATACCTATGGTCAAAAGAAGACAAGACAGACTGATGATGCCTCATTTCTTCCTCCACTCAGGACAGACCAAGACTCCAGGGTCAGCACAACAATGTAAATGGAAAGAAACATTAAAAAGCAACCAAAAGTTAATGTTTCATAATGACAAAGAACAAACACAGTCCCAAAGAAGAGATATGAGAAGATGTCTCTACCCCACTCTTACGCAGAGGTGGGAGGTCAACAGCTAAATACACTGCACATACTTTCAGACTTTTTTCATGTATTAATCAGTTTTCCCGAATATTTTGTCTCTTCCTCCTAATGTTTCCCCCTTCTTTGGAAAAAAATGATTTGTCGCATAGGATGGCTCTCATAGTGGGAGGGGAGGCAGGAACAGGGGATGAAAGAAGGGGTGGATACTAGAAGAAACTCTGGAGATTCAAAAACAAAATATACCAATAACAATTTATATTAAAAAAAGAATGGCAGGTCAGTTTACCTGTTCTTCCTCACCTGAAATTTTCACTTGAATGCCACAGGTTTGAGAAACTCCTGTGGGATCACAGCTCTAGAACCAAAAGGAAGCTCAGAAGTCATTTTGTATAATCTTTTACTGGACAGGTGAAGAGTGTAAAATATTACAGTCACAGCACTGTCACATATCGCTATGACATCCAGAGAAGACACCCACAAAGAATTCTCTCAGAGATGATGTCACCTTTGTATACTAAGCTAATAGCAGCTAGAGGTGTAGTCACTCCATTCCGGAGAAGGGATCTTAAGGCAGTGTTGAGGATAGCAGGCCAGAGGAGTGGGGAAAGCTACCTATAGAGCCGCAGGGATGGGAGCAGAAACATCTGTCAAGCAACAAGCATTTATTAAGCACCCACTGTATACTATGCATTGTGCTGGGCACTAGAGATACAAAGAGAAAAATAAAATAATTCTTGCCCTCAGACAGTTCACATTCTATGCAGGGGAGACAACATGTAGATAAATAAAGATATGTAAAATAAATATAAGATACTTGGAGTTGGGTAGATCAGGAAGGATCCTATATGGAGCTTAAGCTGTGTTTTGAAGAAAGCAAGGGATTCTAAGAGGCAGGGGTTAGGCAGCTGGGTGGTGCGATGGATAGAGCAATGGCCCTGGAGTGAAAAAGACCTGAGTTCAAATCCAGCCTGAGATACTTACTAGATGTGTAACTTTGGGCAAGTCACAAAAATCTGTTTGCCTTGATTTCCTCATTTGTAAAATAGGGATAATAATAGTACCTATCTCTCAGGGTTGTGGGGATAAAATGGAATGATACTTGAAAAGTGGTTAGCACAGTGTCTGGCATACAGTAGGCACTATATAAATGCTAGCACTATAATGAGAGAAAGCATTCTAGACATGAGGGGCAGGCAGTACAAAGGCAGAAAAACAGGAGATACGATGATAATAATAATGATGAATAGCTAGCCTTTATATATGTGCCAAGTGTTTTACAAATATTATCTCATTTGACTCTCACAACAACTCTGAGAGGTAAATACTCTTATTATCCTTGAGGAAAGAGGGGCAGACAGAGGTTAACCGCCTCTAATGGGCAGACTGAATGCAGTATGTGAAGCCTAGCATGGATGTGCAGTTTGGGTCAGATGAATATATGAATATATGGAAAGGACATTCACAAACCTTAAACCTTTATATTAAAGATTATTATTATTGTGTTATTAACAAAGTGTAGGAAGGGGACTCTTGAAAGAGAGGGTGGCACTACGTTACAACAGGCTTTGAAAGTCAAAGAAAAGAGTTTATATTTGATTCTAGTGAGGTGTTCTTAACCTGGTATCATGAACTTGTGTGTGCGTGTTTTTAAGCATATTTTGACATCCATGTTTCAATATAATCACTCTCACTTGTAATCCCATATTTTATTTTATACATTTAAAATGATTAGCATGAGAATCCATCAAAGGAGAAACATTTATATTAAGGGCCTAGTATGTGCCATGTACTGTCCTAAGCACTGAGGATACAAAAAGAGGCAAAAGACAGTCCCTGTCCTCAAGGAGCTTACAATCTAATGAGAAGGGATCCATAGGCTTCATCAGGATGTCAGAGTGATCTCTGAAACAATGAAGGTTAAGAACCCCTGTCCTGGAGTCAATTGGGAGCCACTGGAATTTACGGAATAATGGGTGGGGAGAGGGGAGAACATGGTCAGAATTAAACTTTAGGGAAAACACTTCAATATCTGTTTGGAAGATGTTTTGGAATAAAGAAACAAGACAGAGAAACCAATTAGGAGGTATTAAGATAGCCCAGGCATGAATTAGAAAGAGAAGCAAGAGGAAGTGGTGTTATGGAGGGATGAAAGAGAGAGAAAGAGAGAGAGAGAGAGAGAGAGAGAGAGAGAGAGAGAGAGAGAGAGAGAGAGAGAGAGAGAGAGAGAGAGAGAGAGAGAGAGTTAGAGAGACAGGGACAGGGACACAGAGACAGAAAAGAGAAGAGAAGAGAAGAGAAGAGAAGAGAAGAGAAGAGAAGAGAAGAGAAGAGAAGAGAAGAGAAGAGATGAGATGAGATGAGATGAGATGAGATGAGGAGAAGAGAGGAGAGGAGAGGAGAGGAGAAGGTAAAAGAAGGGAATGGAAGGGGAGGGGAGGAGAGAAGAGCGGGAGAAAATCCAAGGGGGAAGAGGGTGGTCAACAGTATCAAAAGCTCTATAAAAGAAGTCAAGAAGAATGGGTACTGAGAAAAGACCATCAGGTTTGGCGATTAAGAGACTGTTGGTAACTTTGGAGAGCGCGGTTTCAGTTGAGTGATGAGGTTAGACACCAGACTGCAAAGGATTGAGAAGTGAGGGAGAAGTGAAATGGAGAGAAGGAATCTCTAGCTTTTCCTAGTAATCTGGAACACAGGAAAGATACAGGGCATTAACTTGAGAGGATAGTAGGATCTAGTAAGGATTTTTTTTTTCAGGATAAGAGGGGGTTCATGGATAATGGGAAGAGAAGAGAATAGTAAAGAGGAAGTTTACAAGTATTAAGGACACATCCTTTCCTCTCCGGTGAATTCCATCTATTAAAAAAAAATTAGTGTTAGCTTTACCAAAATGTTAAAATACTCATCATTAAGGGAAGTGGTTTTGGTCTCCCTAGGTTATTAAAAAAATAGAGAGCACTCAAATGAGTCAAAATAAAATGTTTCAACTAAAAAAATATCTTAGGGATAGATTGTCCCCCATCTTTTGAATCACAAAACAACTCTCTAGACCACAAAATCTGCTCTGATATTCTTGGATGTTCCTATTTCTACTAGCAATTAGGAGCTCTGGAAGAACATGCCTGTTTCTGCTTACCTTGTGACTGGCCTAATTTACAGTCAGAACAAGTATTTTTCCATAGAAGAATTAGTTCTCCTTCTGTCTTGTTTCCCACAGTTAAGGCATTTTCATATAAAAGACATAATAGACTACTGAACTTATAAAGCAAGCAGAACCCCCCTCAAAGCCACTGTGCTCAAAATGGTAACCAAAAGGCCAAAAGAAAGACAATAAAATCCAAGTCGGACAAAGCTGAATGTACAAAGTCTGTCTAAAGCCATTTCTAATGTTGCCATCACAAAAACCTTAGCTTTATTCACAGACGCACTTCAGTCAAATCTGGGTAAAGGCCAAACCAAGCTTCACAAATGCTCAGAACATGAAGGATCCTTGGGGCTAATTACTTGTTCAGGGTTTGATGTTGTCCTAAAACCTATTAACTATCCAAATTACTTACCTTCTGTGCCACTTGTACATGCATTTCAAAAGCACACTTTATTTTTCTTTACAGCATTACTATGTTATTGGTTTCAAGGACAATTTCCCACATATTTTCCAGTTTCAAAAGCTTGTACTTTATCATTTATAGTCTGTCCCCCAAACAAATTCTACTTTGATGCATTATGCAGTGGAGGTGACCTTGTACTCCTGAATTCAGTGCCAATGGAATACAAGTTCTATAAGGTCTTAAACCATGTTGAAGATGCATATGTAATGGCTAGCCAATGGATTGTATTCTGAAGTCTTGAGAACTGCAGTGTTTTTTGCACAGAGAAAACACTAATAAATACATAGTGGACTGAATAGAATTAAGCAACAGCCTAACTAACTTTGGAAAGGATAACAACCAGAAGGCTGCTAACCAGGTGATGAATGTTTCTCAGCCACAACTATTCACACAGACCATTTACAAAGACACAAATTGTTTGTAAACGGGGCTGGGAGAGTCTATTGCGGTCTGAAAAAAATCATAGACGCTTGAAATATTCAATAAGTAGAAGACATCAATAAAAATATATTCTCCTGTCTTGTTTCCTATAGTTAAGGCATTTTCATATAAACAATATCATGGGTTACTGAAATCATAACAAGTAAAACCCCCCTCAAAGACACTGTGTTTGAAATGGTAACCAAAAGGCTAAAAGCAAGACGACAGAATCAAAGGAACACGTTACGTATATTGTCTTAAGAACATGGTTCAAATCCTCTCTCAGACACTTACTGGCTCTATGATCCTAGGGAAATCACGGTCTCTGCCTCAGTTTCCTCACCTCTAAAATGGGTGTAATAATAAAACCTATCTCCCAAGATTGTTGTGAAGACCAAACGAGATATTTTAAAGTGTTTTATAAACCTTAAAGCTCCTATATAAATGAGAGCCATCATCATCATCATTAACTATTAGCAAAGATCTTAATTTATAAAACATTAATAACAAGGTGACTGTCTACATTACAGGAGAATTAACTATCAGATTATATTTTGATAGTGTGACTTTTCCCCATATTAATGTTTAGCTAAGACTTAGCATAGCGTCTGGCACATAATAAGTATTTACAAATGCTTGCTGTCTAACTCACTAACAAAGTTTACAAATAATACATTCATTCTCATTTTGTATAATCTTCCTTCTTTCCATGAAGCCTCCACAGAAGATCTGTTTAGCCCCTTTTGGTCCTTTTAGTATCTTGAGGATACTCGTAAACCTTAC